AGCTGCTGCATTGTAAATTTTGGTCAATGACATGAGACAAATTATATGTGAACTGCTGTATGAAAAGTGAATTTACTCTGTAAATCTTCACCCAAATCCTAATAAAAAAATAAATTAATTAAAAGAAAATTCAACCACACTGTGACAATAAGCACTATGCATAAAATGTTCAGATTTTTCCTCCCAAAGGCAAAGGTATACCCTTTCAATGGAAACATAAAATAAGGATCAAAATATTCATATTAATGTAAAATTTAGTTCACAAAGGATTAAAAGGATAAAGATACAGATAAAGACAAAGGAGAAAGTGATACGGGGTAAAATTCACAACATAGATAACGCTGGCACAAATGTCTATATATTTAATGCAAATATATAAAACAAAAATAATTTATACATACTACGAAACTGAAAAGGGCAAAATGAGCAATGGCAATCTTTGGACAAAACTGATTTAAGAATAAAATAGATCTGAATAAAATAATTAAAAGAGAATTTAATCTTATAGAAAAATATATAACTTCCCCAGTACTTAAAGACTACTCATAAACATTAATCATAAACATTGGGCTGTAAAAAAATGTACTATAAATGTTAAAGTCAGAAATGGTAAAACTCAATTATTTTTTATGAACAGATAACTAATACTAATAAAAAATTCAATCATGAGAATGTAAAAACACTCTCCTAAAAACAATAGATGTATTAAAAAGCTTCTAACTTGCGATAACTGTCTCTTTAGAAATGTCCAATAATAAGAAAATTCTGTTTTAAAGAACTATTTATTAAATTGTATGTACAGGCACTGAGAAATAAGTGCTAAGCAACATCATGTGACACAGGCAAAATGCCATCAGAGGACAATTCATAGCCTTAAGTTTTTTGAGCTTTGTATTTATGCTTTTTATTTAACTTTGAAAAAAGGAACAATGGAGGAAAAAGAAAATTTTCAATCCAAAGCTACTAGAAAAATATCTAAATAAAATTCAGGAAAACAAAATTAAAAAAGCAATCATTATAAAAATGAATTTATAACTTATTAACCAATGTTTACAATGCTGAATAATGCTGAAAAAAGTGCTTCCTCATGAAACGATAAATATAGCAGGAAAGACAGGAATAAATATAAAACAAATTAATGTAAGTGTAATGAAGAAAATAAAAGATAGTCTTTTGAAAAGTAAGTGAAGAAAGTGGATAACTGAATACTCATCTTCTAATTTGAATTTTAACCCATTCCACAGCTAAGAATTTTCCAACTCACAGAGACCCCCATTGGGTTTCCAAGGCTGTAAATCTTTATAGAAGTAGATTGCCTCATCTTCCTCCTGCAGAGCAGCTAGTGGGTTTGAACTGCCACCTTTCGCAGTCAAATGCCTTACCCAGTACACCATCAGAGCACCTTTTAATTTGTATTTTAAGGTATTGTGTTTTAATAGGGAGCTCTGGTGGTGTAGTGCCTAAGGCATTTGACTGCTAACCAGAAGGCTGGTGGTTCAAACTCACCACTCACTCCTTGGAAGGAAGACTGGGCAATCCACGTCCATAGAGGTACCACCTCGGAAACCCAAAGAGGGGTCATTATGAGTCAGATTTGACTCGACAGCAGTGAGTTTGGTTTGGTTTTGGTTTTATATTTTTGCAGAGTAACTTGAAGAGTAGGAGAAGAAATTTCTAGGGAGAAAGAAGAGCATTTGCAAAGATTTTCTCAAGAGAGAAAAATCTGGGTATATTACTGTGTGATGGGGAAATAATGAGAGATGAAGTACAATATATAATGACATGGCAATAATATAATATTTCTTTCACATGGACTATTCTTTGGAAAGGCAGCTGTGGTGTCTCACAGGCAAAGCATTCTGATGCTAACCAAAAGGTTGGCAGTTCAAACCCACCCTTCACTCCACTGAAGAATGATGAAGCAGTCTGCTTCCATAAGGGCTGACAGCCTTAGAAACCCTAAGGGGCAGTTCTACTCTGTTCTGTAGGGTGGGAATGAGTTGGAATTGACTCAATGGCTGTGAATTTGGCTTTGGTGTTTTATTTTTTGGAATAATATAAATGCCCAAACTCACTCAAAAGGGTAAAAATACCTGAAAAGACCAATAATATTGGGCAAAAAAATATGTTTCCCAAATAATTCCTCTGTGCTAAAGGCACTGAAATATATCTTTTGGAGTACAGATAATTCCTGTATTAAAGTTGTAAATGGAGAAAAATAATATATGTATATATATCATATGTATATGTATTTATGTGTATATGCATATTTATGTGTATGTATGTATATATGGGTGTATATATGTGTGTGTATATATATATATGTATATATATGTGTGTATATGTATATAGTGTGTGTATGTTTATATATGTGTATGTATCTATGTATATGTGTATATGTATGTGTGTGTGTGTATATATATATATATATATATCCATGAGTTCTATCAGGTTAGCATAATCTTCACACTAAACTGTAACAAGAAGAGTACACACCTGCATCTGTGAAAAGATAACCTCTACATACCTAAGGAATGATCTCACTTATGCATATATATTCATGAAATATTAATGGCATATTAAACTGTTCAATAATGTTTTACTTTAGGAAAGTGACTGGTTTAGCTTTAGAAAACTTTTCATTATAATTCACCATATAAACAAATCAAACCAAGTCATTACAAGCATGTCATCATCTAATAATAATAATCCAAAATAACTTAATGAAATCTAAACTACATTTCTGTTTGAAAAATTTAAAAAGTCTATAACTAGAAAGGGAGCTCTGGTAGCATAGTGGCTAAGACACTTGCCTGCTAACCAGACGGCTGGCGGTTCAAACCCACCAGCCACTCCTTGGAAGGAAGGTTGGGCAATCCTACTTCCATAGTGACACTGCCTCGGAAACCCAAGGAGGGGTCGCTATGAGTCGGGTTTGACTCAACGGCACATAACAACAACAACAACAACAACATAACTAGAAAGACAGTTCTTTAACTGACAAATGATATGAAACTGATCACCAACATCATATTTAACAGTAAAACATGGGAGTTCCCATTAAGCGAGTGTGGTGATTAACTTTATGTGTCAACTTGGCCGGGCCTAGTTGAGTGGCTGGGAAGCTAAATGTAGTTATTTCCCATGGTGAAATTGATAATAAACTCCATGGTAAATCTACTGGAGCGGCTGAGTAGCTGCTTTGGGTATGTGGTCTGCTTCCCATATATAAGAAACAGCTTTGGGAATGCTTACAGCATGCTTGAACCCTGCATGTCGCCATGTCGTTGTTCAGCAGCCTGCCATGCTCTGTTGACTCTGGGACATTCAATGGACTTGAATTAATGGCTTGCCATGTGGTTTGGTAACATTGAGACTGTGCCTTATTACTTGTCAACCTTGGGCGTGTCAGCCTCAGCAGCCAGCAGCTGTCTGAGTGAAGAAAAGCCTTTAGCTTCAGTGGACCAGGAGAAGGAGGCAGAGCTGAAGCCAAGGTTGAGGGGCTTTCACCCAGCCCCTAGAGCCCAGCTCTTTGAACTCAGACTTAAAGCCTCCAAACTGTAAAAAAGTAAACTCCTATTTGCTTAAGCCATCTCATTTGTGGTATATTCCTGTCAGAGCGGCACTAGGTAACCAGAACAGTAAGGAATAAAAGTTGTAAATATGAACAATAAAAATGAAATGAAAAATTGTGTGTAATTCAAAGTACTATAAAAATTAAAAAGCAAATTACAGTTATTAATAAGTGTTTGTTGAATATTGTTTATAACAATGATCAACACATATACTGTTAAGTAAAACATAGTAAAGTTGTATGACAGAATCCTATGCAAACTTTAAAAATTAAGTAGTACCTTAAACACATATTCTGTTGAATAGTGAAGATTTTTTATGAAGAATGAGCATATAGTATTATTATATGTAGTACTTCTGCTTACTGCACTTGTTACATTCAGGTAGTATCTTGACTCAGGGCCATGACGGTCATCAGGAGGGTTACATTTCACAGTCACACTATTATCTGATTCCAGGAGGACAGATATGTCCTTGACCTCACTTGGCTCTATAAAAATTGAAGAAAAATTTGTTATTTTATTCACTTAGAAAATATATATTTAAATCAGTTAACAATAACTGAGTACAGTATAAAGTACTTTAAGTGTTACTTAGGGGTTATGGATGACAAAGTTATGGTAGTACATGCTCAAAAACATTGTAACAAAACATTTGAAACGAAATTGCCTGTCCATTTGGGAAGTATTAGATAATGGTTGAAGTCAAGAGAGTTTATGAAATCTACCAAAGGGAATGTGTAAGTTAGAAAAGAGAAAAAGAGGGCAGAAGGGAACAGAGTGGAAAAGAAAGGAGGAACGGACAGAAAGGGAAGAGAAAAGAAAGGAGAGGATGATGGATGGAAACCTCTAAGAGTAAATGCAGAGCCCATAAAGGAGGCTGAGAGGCCACAGCCACGTAGGTAAGAGAGTGTGTTAAGTGAAACCCTGAGGACAGTGAGTTAAAGAAGTGTTTTTCTGCTTATATTTTTAAATAACTAAGGAGCTATTTGCACTATGAATGTTGCAGAAAGGTCATATAAACTGAGAGTTTAGAAGTATTATTTAGATTTGGCAATTAATAGGTCATTGATTGTTCTCGGTTGTTGTTGTTGTTAAGTGCCGTCGAGTTGTTTCCGACTCATAGCGACCCCATGCACAGCAGAACGAAACACTGCCCGATCCCGCGCCAGCCCCACAATCCCTGCTATACTTGAGCCCACCATCGCAGCCACCGTGTCAATCCATCTCGTTGAAGGCCTCCCCCTCTTTCGTCGACCCTCCACCCTACCAAGCATGACATCCTTCTCCAGGGAATGGTCCCTTCTGACAACATGACCAAAATAGGTGAGACGAAGTCTGGCCATTCTTGCTTCCAAGGAGCATTCTGGCTGCACTTCCTCCAGGACAGATCTGTTAGTTCTTTCAGTAGTCCATGGGACTTTCAGCATTCTCAGCCAGCACCACAACTCAAAAGCATCAACTCTTCTTCGGTCTTCCTTATTCATTGTCCAGCTCTCACATGCATACGAGGCGATTGGAAATATCATGGCTTGTGTCAGGCACACCTTAGTCCTCAAGGAGATATCCTTGCTCCTCAGCACTTGAAACAGTTCCTTCACAGTTGACTTTCCCAATGCTACATGTCGTCTAATGTCCTGACTGCTGCTTCCGTTGGCATCGATTGTAGAACCAAGCAACGTGAATTCTTTGACAACCTCAATCTTCTCTCCATTTATTGTGATGCTGCTCATTGGTTCAGTTGTGAGGGTTTTTGTTTTCTTTATGTTGAGACGTAATCCATACTGCAGACTGTATTCTTCAACCTTCATCAGTAGGTGCCTTAAGTCATCCTCACTTTCAGCAAGCAAAGTTGTATCATCTGCATATCTCAGGTTGTTAATGATTTTTCCTCCAATCCTGATACCACGTTTTTCTTCATATACTCCAGCTTCTCGGATTATTTGCTCAGCATATAGATTGAATAAGTATGGAGAAAGGATACAACCCTGACGCACTCCCTTCTTGATTTTAAACCATGTGGTGTCCCCTTGTTCTGTTCAAACAACAGCCTCCTGGTCAAGGTACAGATTCCTCATGAGTACAATCAAGTGCTCGGGAATTCCCATTCTTCTCAATGTTATCCATAATTTGTCACGATCCACACAATCAAATGCCTTTGCATAGTCAATAAAACACAAGTAAACATCTTTCTGGTATTCTTTGCCTTGAGCCAAGATCCATCTGACAACAGCTATGATATCCCTTGTTCCACATCCTCTTCTGAATCCAGCTTGCATTTCTGGAAGTTCTCTGTCAATATACTGCTGTGAACGTTTCTGAATTATCTTCAGTAAGATCTTACTTGCATGCGATATTAATGATATTGTTCTATAATTTCCACATTCTGTGGGATCACCTTTCTTTGGAATGGGCACAAATATGGATCTCTTCCAGTCAGTTGGCCAGGTAGCTGTCTTCCAAATCTCTTGGCATAACTGAGTGAGTGCCTCCAATGGGGCATCTGTTTGTTGAAATATCTCAACTGTTCTTGGTAAGAACAGTCTTAGTGGCTCATAGGGTGAACTGCAATATATTCATAGTGAAGGTGAGGTCAAAAATTAAAGACAATGAGTATAGACTGCAAGTTAGACTGTGAAGTGGTACCAAATACCAGTTGTTGATGAGACAGTTCTGACTCGTGGAAACCCCATGTGTCAGACCGCAACTGTGCTCCATAACCTTTTCAAGGCTGATTTTTCTGAAGTAGATAACCAGGCCTTTCTCTGAGGCTCCTCTGGGTAAACTCAAACCTTCTGTCTTTCAGTTTTCAGTTAGCAGCCAAGCATGTGAACCCATTTGCACCATCCAGTTTGTCTTTCAAGGAAATGTAGTTGTAACTTTCATCTATTCACTCATTAGCACACCTTCATGGAGCACCTACTGCATGCCAGGCATTGTGCTACATTATGAATATACAGTGGTGAATACCTCTATCTTCATGGAGTTTACAGTCTAATAGATGTGACATTTATGTCCTTGAAATAAAACCTAACATCCTACTGACACTTCTGATACAGGCCAAATACCTTTACTGCCAATGATATTTTACATTTGCCCTTTTAAATGCATGCTAGATTCCTCCTGACTTTTCACTAGGGTCCATGTTAAGTTCAAAATCCATGATTAAAAATACTTCAAGAAAAGTTAAAATGCAAACACTTGGTTGAATCAGTTAAGTGTGGGAGACTCTTACAACTAATTTTTCTTTACCTGTTTCTACTTCTAGTATAGATTTCAATATTATTTCTAACTTCCCTTACGGTTTCTCCATTCCTTCTTTGAAATCACAGATTCTAAGAGTTAAACACAGCCTACCATAAAATTTGGCCCTCTTTACCTGAATCCAACTTGTCTCCACTTACATTTCTTTGATAGGCACCTGGCTGAATTCTTCAGGAACAACAACACATTGTCTTGACTTTTGGGGTATCACAGAAACTCAGAAATATAACAAAAGTATAGAGTTCTTAATGGCATTAAAAAATTTTATGTCCAGACCTGAATAGTCAAGTTGTCTAAATGAGCTGGGTACACTTTAGGGTCTCTGGAGCTACATAGATGCTACCTTACCCATTACAAGTTGCTGTGGAGTCCACTCCTACCAATGGTGACCCCATGTCTGTCAGAGTAAACTGTGCTCCACAGGGCTGTTAGTGGATGATTTTTTGGAAGCAGATCACCAGGTCTTTCCTGTGCTACTTCTCAGTCAATTCAAACCTTTTGGTTAGCAGCTGAACACACTGAGTACATAGCACTGTTTGCATGACCGACAGACTCCAGATGCCATCTTCACCATTGTTGCTATGTTTGAGCCCATGTTGCAGCCACTGTGTCAATCCATCCCATGGAAGGACTTCCTCTTTTTTGCTGACTGTCCGCTTTAACAAGAATGATGTCCTTCTCATGGACTGGTGCCTCCTCATAACATGTCCAAAGTACATAAGACAAAATCTCCCCCTCCTCCTGTTTAAGGAGTAATCTGGCTACACTTCTTCTAAGACATATTTGTTTTATCCTCTGGCAGTCTGTAGTATATTCAGTATTCTTCACCAACACCATAATTCAAAGGCATCAACTCTTTCTCAGTCTTACTTATTCCTTGTCCAGTTTTCACATAAGAAAAAAACCTCATTGCCATCAAGTAGGATCCAACTCATAGTGACCCCTTTTTGGGTTTCCAAGGCAGTATCACTATGAAAGATTGCCCAGTCTTCCTTCAGAGGAATGGCTGGTGGGTTTGAACCACCAGCCTTCTGGTTAGCAGTCAAATGCCTTAGGCACTATGCCACCAGAACTCCCATGCATATGAGATAATTGAAATTACCATGGCTTGGGTCAAGTGCACCTCAGTCCTCAAAATGCCATTTTTGCTCTTTAACACTTTAAAGAAGTCTTCTCCAGCAGATTTGGCCAAAGCAATATGTCATTTTATTTCTTGACTGCTGTTTCCAGGAGTGTTGATTGTGAGTCCAAGTAAAACAAAATCTTTAACAACTCAGTCTTTCTCCATTTATCATGATTTTGTTTATTGGTCCCATTCTGAGGATTTTTGTTTTCTTTATTTAATGTGCATTCCATACTGAAGGGAACAGTATTTTATCTTCATCAGTAAGTGCTACAAGTCTTCTTACCTTTTAGTAAGGAAGGTTGTGTTATCTGTATATCATAGGTTGTTAATGAGTCTTCCTCTAATTTTGATGCCACTATGTTCTGCTTCATATAGTTCAGCTTCTGGGGTTATTTACTCAGCATACAGATTGAATAAATATGGTGATATGACGCAACCCTAATGCATACTTTTCCTGATTTAAAACCTGTTAATAAGTTTTTCTTGCTTTGTTCAAACAACTGCCTCTTGACCTATGTACAGCTTCTGACTGAGCACAATTGTTACATAATTCTAATTCTTGGAAATGTTATCCATAGTTTATGATCCACATAGTCAAATGTCTTTGCATAGTCAATAAATCACAGGTAAATATCTTTCTGGTATACTGCTTTCAGCTAAAACATCAGCAATGATATTGCTTATTCCACATCCTCTTATGAATCCAGATTGAATTTCTGCCAGTTCACTGTCAATGTATTGCTGCAACCACTTTTTAATTATCTTCATCAAAAATTTACTCATATGTGATATTCATAATATTTGATAATTTCTGCATGCTGAAGATCATGTTTCTTTGAAAGGGGCACAAATATGGATCTATTCTAGTCAGTTGTCTTCCAAATTTCATAGCATGGACTAGTGAGTGCTTCCAGGTTTGCAACTGTTAGTTGAAACATCTCCATTGGTATTCCATCAATGCCTGGAGTCTTGCTTTTCACCAATGCCTTCTTCCTTCATTACCATCGTTTTTTGATCATATGCTACCTCCCAAGATGGTTGCACATTGACCAATTCTTTTTGGCATAGTAACTCTCTGTAATCTAGTATTGCAATTCAAGCCTTGAATTATTTCTTCAGTTCTTTCAGCTTGAGAAATACCAAGTGTGTTCTTCTCTTGGTTTTGTAACTCAAGGTCTTTTCATATTTCATTATAATAATTTACTTTGTCTTCTTGAGCTGCCCTTTGAAATCTTCTGTTCAGCCCTTTTATTTCATCATTTCTTGCATTCACTTTAGCTAGCCTGCATTCAAGAGGAAGTTTCAGAGTCTCTTCTGACATCCATTTTGGTCTTTTCATTCTTTCTCATATTTTTAATGACCTTTTGCTTTCTTTATTTATGATATCCTTTATGTCTTCCCACAACTTAACTAGTCTTCAGTCATTAGTGCTTGATGCATCAAATCTATTCTTGAAATAGTCTCCAAAGTCAGGTCATACTTTGGACTTGTTCTCATTTTCTTCAACTTCAGCTTAAATTTGCATAGTGAGCAATTGATGATATTGAGCTTCTCCATCTTCTACACAGATGTAGTCAATTTGATTCATGTATATTCCAGACACTCCTCAGAAGGAAGGTTGGGAATTCTACCTCCATAGGAAACCCAAGGAGGGGTTGCTATGAGTCGGGTCCGACTCGACAGCACATAACAACAACAACAATAACATATTCCATCTGGTGGGGTCCAGGGAGACTTGTTGCTTATGTTGTTCAAAAAATGTATTTCCAATGAATAGGTCATTGGTCTCACAAAATTCTATCATGCTATCTCCAGCGTCATTTGTATCACCAAGGACATATTTCCCAACTACTGATCCTTCTTCTTTGTTTGCAACTTCTGCATTCCAATCACCAGTAATTATCAATGCATCTTGATTGCCTGTTTGATGAATTTCAGACTGTAGAAGCAGATAAAAATCTTCAATTTCTTTATCTTTAACATTAGTGATTGGTGCATAAATTTGAATAATAGTTGAATTAACTGTCATCTTTGTAGGAGTATGGAGGTTACCCTATATCACTGACAGCTTTGTACTTCAAGGATAGATCTAGAAATCTTGTTTTTGATAATGAATGTGACACTATTCCTTTTTAACTTGTCCTTCTAAGCATAGTAGATCATATGATTGCCTGATTCAAAATGGCTGATACTGGTCCATTTCTACTCACTAATGCCTAGGATATCAATCTTCAAGCATTTCATTTTCTTTTTGACAACTTCTAATTTGCCTAGTTTCATACTTCATACAGTCTACATTCCAGTTATTAATGGATGTTTGCAGCTATTTCTTCACATTTGAGTCACACCATGTCAGCTGATGAAGGAACTGACTGATGATATTGAACTTCTCCATCATCTTTTCCACAGATGTAGTCAATTTTATTCATGTGTATTCTAACTGGTTAGGTCCACATGGATAATCATTTATGTTGTTGAAGAAATTTATTTCCAGTGAATCAGTCATTTGTCTTAACAAAATTCTATCATGCTATCTTGTCCATGTTGGTAAGGTTGAGTCTTCCTTGAGGAGTCATCTCTTCCCCATTATATGTTGAGTTCCTTCCAACCTGTGCCACTCATCTTCTGGCACTATATCAGACAGTGTTCTGCTACTAATTCTAAGATTTTCACTGGCCTATTTTTTCAGAAGTCGATCACCAGGTCCTTCTTCCTAGTCTGTGTTAGTCTGAAAGCTCCACTGAAACCTGTCCACCTCAGCTGATTCTGCTGGCATTTGAAATACTGGTGGAATAGCCTCCCGCATCACAGCAACACACAAACTATCACAGTATGACAAATTGACAGATGAGTAGTGGAATACAGACCTTATGTATGAAATATAAATATAATATAATTATATAAATATATTATATGATATATTAGAAGTTTCAATATGTTTCATGAGTAAAGCATAAATGTAGATATATTGTAAGCTATGAAGTTTATACTTTGCTATGTACCATTCATAGAAAGAAGAATTGAAACATATAACTTACTTTTCATTTCTGTTAGAAACGTACATGACTCAGAAGACCCATTACGTTGCATTCGTCCTTTGGTATAGGCAAATAATGATATACGATATAATGTATAAGGTTTCAGATTCTTCAAAATATAACTGTTTTGATTTGGTCCCAGATTCTCACAATAGTCTAAGGGGAAAAAAATGGAAAAATTTAAGTAAGTCAGAAAAATTTAGGTTTGTCACATATTCAATTTTGTCTCAACAGAGACCACATTAATGAGCGATTGAGAAAAAAAGTAAATTCTTGATGCTCAGCAATACATACAACTATCAACAAATATTTATTAAACAAATGCAATTATAAATAAACTGGAATTTTAAAAAATTATGCTATCATATCTTTAATTTGACATAAAATATTTAGTAAAGAGCAGACACTTTTTTGAGGTTAGTCAATTTTCTTTCGAGAAAACATAGCCTTTAGGATACTATGAAATTCTTGAGTTATGATATTTCAAGAAGATTATTTTTTAAAGCATCTTTTCCTGATAATTAGCCTCCAAATTTTGACCAATATTAGCTGCTGTTATAGGCCTCAGATGCATAGTCCATACGGTCCCATTACTAGGTCTACTCTATCACAATAATTTAAGTACTACAGTAATTCACAGAGGTTGTAAAAATAAGGAAAAGCTTCATACTGTCAGTGGAATTCACTTTTCCATTGCATGAGTAACAAATGAGATTGAGAAGGTATGAAGAATAAGAGACAACAGTATACATGAATGAAGGAGCATTTTGATTTTTGAGATAAGTCTGATCAAGGAGAGCAGGTTCTGGTTGGGAAGGTATATGAGAGGTAAGACTTTATTTATGTGTTTTAGTATTCAGAAAGAAGAATCAAAAGTTGAAAAATAACTAGTCATTGATTATTTTTGCATATACAATTGGCACCAGAAACAATATGTTAAAGGATGATTAGCATGTTGATGCATATCAGATACGGGAATTATAATAATAAAAATAATGATAAAAATTGATAACTCACTCTATGTACAAAGCACCATTTTATATGGTATATATGAGTTAATTATTTTCATTATTACCACAGCCCTATAAGTTGGCACTATGAATATCATCTGATTTTATAGATGTAAAAAACTGAATCACAGAGAGAATCAAATATCTGTCCAAAGAAACAATGAAGGCAGGTAGAAACCCACAGAGGCTCCAGAATCCATACTCTAATTTTCACCATTGTACATACTTCCTAGCATGGGAGAGGGGATAAGGCCTCCACTGGGGCCATTCATTACCTCATTACCTTAGTCTTAGAGACCCTAAACTTGCAGGAGCAGTACAGGGAAGATTTAACAGTTGCTAAATTTTTGTCTCACATAGTTTTCCATTAAATGGAAATTATAGTAATATCTCTATCTCATCATGAGATTCTAAACAGTAAGTGAGATACACATTTCTTCCCTGCCCATAGTGAGTATTGCTCTTCATGGCAATGAAAGTTGTGAACTCAAGGGAGGGGCAGGTGGGACCCTCTGACTCATGGTATCTACTAGCTTCTGGAATGGGGACTAGCTACTAGGAAGATGCCCAGCTTCTCACTAAAACCCAACCAAAGGATCAAGATACCATTCCCAAGATCAATCTGGCTTCATGTCAGTGACTTAATCTTGTATCATTTTATATGCATTCTCATGGAAGTTTTGTATTGAATGATAGCATAGTACTCCCTTCATTTATATAGTTGTATGAAGTTTTTCATCTTACCCAACTTAAATAAAAGAATTTGTTGATTTTATTTTTGTTGCTATTGTTGTTTCAGGGAAGTTATGAAAACAGTAATTAATGAAAGCGTGAAATACTTAGAATGTTAATTTCTAAGTAATAACGTTGAAAGGGCAAGATACTTTAAATGAATACTCCTGCCTCCTTTATGTGTTTGAAAATTTGTTCTCAGTACTCTGCCTTCAGAAGTGCAAGTTGTATGGGACAAGTTGAGTTTGTTATATGACCAAATGATTAAAATATATTCTCCTTTAGGATAACAGGGAAATCAAGCCTTCAAGCCAGGTCTGTTATTCAGGAATTAGCTGAAAAGACACTGGCTTTCCCACTTGTCTCCCCTTTCTATTTTGGAAAGTGCCTCAGAAAATCCTTAACAATCACTTAACTTTGATAACTCTAAAGCATTTTGAATACTATTTCAAATAATGTAAATCTGTTGATAGCCAAAGGATTTTGTACTGCCTTAAAAGAGAGAGAGAGAGAGAGAGAGAGAGTTTTTCTTTCTCTAAAAAATACATGATTATGGAATTGAACCCATTCTTGTGGCTTCCAGCAAAACAAAAGATAGGCATATGATCTGAATATTTACATTAGGTAGATACACTCCATGGAGAGATTAATCATGGGTGAATATGCACAGAGAGACAGCTTGTGGGATGGAAGGCAGGAATGCATGGGATGGAAGGATACAAGGAAGAGGTAACTATGGGGAGAAAGTGGGAGGGGAGCTGTTGCATTGTGGTAAATTGCAGTCAATGTCATGAGACAAAGTATATGTGAGCAGGTGTATGGAAAGTGAATTTGCTCTGTAAACTTTCACCCAAATCACAATAATAATAATAATAATAATAATACATGATTCAAAATAATTTCCAGCTTCATCATTGTAATCTTGAAGGATGCATATTGATTTCAATACTTTTGAAAAATGGTTTCTTGGATGCAAGAAAAAGTGGAAGTTCTCTCTTCTAATTTGTGACTAAACTTCGGTGTCACTTGACATCATTAATTACACAATACTGCAGTTTTCCAGGTATTTTGTGTGAGACCGTGGACAACCCAGTAGCAGAAAAAGCACAATTCAAGCTGTTGAACTTGAATGTTTATTTACCATTAAGGTAAATTCTGTGAGCCTCAGTTTCATCATAAGAACTATGAAAATACTTATGCACTTCTCAGAGTTATTAATAAAAAGTTTCATAAAATATTTAAGTAAAGCATTTTAAAAGCATCTGATACACAAGAAAAACTAAAAAAAAAAGTCAATTACCTTTTTCCTTCACCTTTGAATGTGATTCCTAACTTTCACAGACAATGAAATAATTTAGAATATCAGATAAAACAATATATAAATTGCAATTATAGTTGATAGATTTTGTTTCTGTGGATTTTTACTTGTGATTTTATTTGTAATAATAAGAGTAGCTAAAATAACTGCTTTTACAATTCTATAATGCCATATCTTTCACTTAGATAAAATTGAAGAGGATCTCATTTCAGCATATGTTTGGGATGTATGAAGAAATAAAAGCGGAGAATGAATACTCCTTTACAGTAGTTGATTTTGTTGCTGTCATATAATTCTGAGTTGTGGGTCCCAAAGAGTCCCTTTAGCAGAGTTAGCGCTGATCCAGGGTGGAAACTGGATGTAGTTACCAATCAATAACGTCTGAAGAAAAGGATATGGACAGTCTGATATTGTCAAACACCCCCAGTGACACTATCACCATCACCACCCTCAAGTATTAAATTTGGGCAGTGATAAATTGGGTCACACACAAATAAAAGGAGCTATACTAGCTGGAAAGAGTCCTAGTGACACAGTAGTTAAAGCATCATCTGCTAAACAAAAACTTGACAGTTCAAACCCACTAGCTGCTCCACATGAGAAAGATGTAGCCATCCCTTCTGTAAAGATTCCAAAACCAAAACAAACTCACTGCTGTGGAGTCAGCTCTCACTCATAGTTACCCCTCTTTGGGTTTCTGAAGTGGTATCACTACCGAAGTAGATTGCCCAGTCTTCCTTCTGAGGAGTAACTGGTGGGTTTGAATCTCCAGCCATTTGGTTAGCAGTCAAATGCCTTAGGCACTATGCCATCAGAGCACCTTCTGTAAAGATTACAGCATTGGAAATCCTATGAGGCAGTTCTACTCTGCTTTATAGGACCCCTATGCACTGTATGGCAGTGGATTTAGTTTTAGTTTTATATAGTTGCAGAAAACAAACAAAAAAATCAGGACATCGAAACTGTTTCATTTATTATGTCCTTCTTATCTCAATATGCAAATGTATGCTTTTAAAACCAAAATGTATAGATGAGCAAAGAGCAATGAAAATACTGTTTCCACCATATACTCTGTTATACCAAATACTCTGTACAGAGAGAGTATACAAAGTGAGAAATGCAGCAAGAGCTTGTGAGTAGAAGAGTTAGAGATGGAGAGAAAAGAAAACCAAACAATGTGGTATTATTACACGAGGAAAGCTGCAAGAATCTGCATAAGAAGTCTGCAATGGGGTAAGAGTATCCAATTGTCTTGTTTTATCTTCCTGTAATTTGTGTTTTTCCTTTGTTCTAGTTGTAATTTTGGAAATCACAATAACCTCAGATATATTCCAGGGATCTCCTTCATAGCATTTTGAGTCCTCTTATGCCAACGTGAGAACTACATGTGTATTAAAGTTGCTTTAGTTTGATTAAGATTCAAACCATAAGCAAAACCAATATGTTATCAAAATATAGCTTAAATAGTATGTTGAAGTCAGATGGTTTTGAACTTTTCAAAGATTTTGAAATTTATGTCTCTTTCCCTCCAAATACAAAAGTGAAATTTTCTGGGATGTTCAGCTCAATTCTACCGTAGCCTATAGAAGGGTTAGTGCAGAGTGCAGTGGTGGTTCCGTAGAGTTCTAGCCTTTTAGGCAAGAGTTCCAGATTTGATTCCTGCCCAAAACACCTCAAGCACAGACACCACTTGTTTGTCAGTGAAGGCTTGTCTGTTGCTATGATGCTGATCGGACATCAGGGGAGCGTCCAGATTAAGATGGACTAGGAAGAAAAGCCTGCAATATACTTCTGAAAATCAGCCAATGAAAATCCTATGAATCTGAACGTCTCATCATGGGGATGGTGGAGAAATAGGCAGCATTTCGTTCTGTTGAACATGGGGTCTCCATGACTCAGGGGCCAACTAGCTAGTAGCTAACAATAACAACAAAGAATTAATGAGAGGGCTATCCTGAGAAGTCTGTCTCAGGTGTTAAATCAGCTCTGAGGTGCTCCATTTTGATGCCTTCTATTTCTACAAACATTTTAATTTCTTTCGGTTACCCAGATAAATAGCTTATCATCTGAGAAGTTTTTAATTGAACTGTTGTTGTTATGTGCCATCGAGTCAGCCCCGACTCATAGAGACTCCCAGTTGGGTTTCTGAGGCAGTATCACTACGGAAGTAGATTGCCCCATCTTCCTTCCAAGGAGTGGCTGGTGGGTTTGAACTGCCAGCCTTCTGGTTAGCAGTCAAGTGCCTTAGGCACTATGCTAGCCATAACTTTTTTTTTTTTCTCCCATTACATTTGTTTACACTAATTCTGAACTAAAATTAGGTTCCTGGATTCTACCTGCCATCAAAATGGCTTCAATGACTAAATAAGTCCATGGTTTTTTTTTTTTTTTTTTTTTTTTTCATTCACCCAATATGTAGTGTGTATTAACTGGAGCAAGTTTTGAAAGGTGTTCTGTTGGTTCGAGAGCCTGAATAATCAGTTCAAAGTGGAAAACAGAACGAGGATTGTTTCAGAGATGTTGTTCCTCCAAAGTTTGTATTGTGGATGTTCTGGGCTTTAGCCATTTCAAGGGCTGGGGAACCCTTAGTGAGTGGAAGCAATTCTAAAATCAAAGGGCATAGAATTTATATCACACAGCTCCTTCACTAGACAACTCAGTCCACTCTACACACAACATTCATTTTCACACTCTCACATTATCTAGTTCTCTTTATGATATGAAATTAAATTCTCTATATATTACCTGAATCATTTGAATAACAAAAATAAAAATTATGAAAAGAAGTTTGAGGGGGTGTCCAGGTAATTTCTTCTTGATCTGTACTTGATTCATTTCGACAAGTAAGATTCCCAGGTTTTCCTGGAACTGTTTAAAAAATCAGAATATATAATATGAAAAATAAGACAGAGAAAAAAAAAACATTACTTTGTATGGATATTATTAATAGCCCCATCTTGATTAAGTGTTACTTAATTCATTAAAAAGAAGACAACTGAGCTTATTGACTTCGTGTCAGAGGCCATTTAGCAGAATGATGTCAATCCACAGTCATATTGTGGAATCTAAGTAGTCCACAGACTTGAAGACAGCTGAGAATCCCCTCTTCCTCTTTATAAATTATTGCACTGTTATCTTGGGATTTCTGGATTTCACTCTGCTAAAAATCTGGTGTTTGTAACACTAATAAGTTTAACAGCCAGTAACTGGAGTTAACTGTTGCCATCGGTGCCAATAACTAGTCATCCAAATCTGAGATGAAGACTGTAATAAATTTTAAAATCAAACTTATGAGGGTAATTTATATACATTAAAATGTACCCATTTGATAGTACAATTTGTTGATTCTTTGACAAATACAGATGTCCATGTAACCACCACCACAATCAATACATAGAATATTTCTATCACTCCAAAATGTTTTTCTTTTCCACTTCCCAGCCACCTCACTCAAAGCCCAATCCCACACAACCTCAGATCTGCTTCCTGTTATTATAGAGTAAGTGTGTCTTTTCATTCATTTCATGTAAATGAAATCAAACAGTAAGCATTCATTTGTGTCTAGCTTATTACACTCAGGATAATGTTTTAGCAATTCACACATGTTGTTGCATGTTCACTTTTATTTCTAAGTAGTATTCCACTGTAAGAATATGCCAGATTTTACCTACCCACTCATCATTTGATGAACATTTCAGTTGTTTCCAAGATTTTTACTACCATGAATGAATCTGCTATAAACATGTGTATAAGTCTTTGTATGGATACGCTCATTCTTCTTTGGTAAATACCTGAAGAGAAATCTTTAGAGCATTGCTTTATGGCCTGAAAAATAGCAATGTCAGTTTTTTGTTTTTTAAATTTTGGCCATCTTAATAGGTGTATAATGCTATCGTCATCTCATTGTATTTTTAATTTGCATTTTTCTGATGATTCATGATGTTGAGCATCATTTCATGCGCTTATTGGCCATTTGTATATTGTGGTAGTTCAGTTTGTGTGTCATCTTGGCTGGGCCTGGTTGAGTGGTTGGGTAGCTGGATGTAGTATTCCCCATGATGAGATTGGTAATCAACTCCATGGTGGAATCTACTGTAAGCAGCTAAGTAGCTGCCTTAGGGAATGTGGTATGCTTCCTGTATTTAAGTAGAAGCCTTGGGAATGGTCTCTAGCTTGTGGCATGCTTGGACCCTGCATATAGCTGTGTCATTTTTCAGCAGCAGCCTGCCATGCTCTGCTGACCTTGGGACTTACAATGGACTTGAGTTAATGGCCTGCTTTGTGGTTTGGTAACATCAGGACTGTGCCTTTTTATTTGTCAGCCTTCGGCTTGGCAGCCTCAGCAACCAGCAGCTGTCTGAGTGAAGCAAAGCCTCTAGCTTCAGTGGACTGCGAGCTGGAGGCAGAGCTGAAGCCCAAGGTTGAGGGGTTTGCACCCAGTCCCTAGATCCTGGCACTTCGAACTTGGACTTAAAGCCTCCAAAGTGTAATAGAATAAACTCCTGTTTGTTAAGGCCATCCCATTTGTGGTATATTTCTTGTCAGAGTGGCACTAGGTAACCGGGACATTTATCTTCTTTTGTGAAATATATGCTCAAAATGTTTTGTCCATTTTAAGTGTGTCATTTGATCACATATTATGTAGTTAAAATGGGTCTCTATTTATTGTGGAAGGAGCTCTGGTAGCACGGAGGCTAAGACACTTGCCTGCTAACCAGATGGCTGGCAGTTCAAACCCACCAGCCACTCCTCGGAAGGAAGGTTGGGCAATCCTACTTCCGTAGTGATACTGCCTCGGAAACCCAAGGAGGGGTCGCTATGAGTCGGGGCCGACTCGACGGCACATAACAACAACAACAACATTTATTGTGGAAAAACTTCCTTTGTTGGAAAATTAATTGTGGATATTTTCTGACAATCTGTGACTTGCATTTGTATTTTCTTCATTGACTATTCAAAGAGCAAACATTTTTAAATTCGATAAAATACAGTTTTTCAAACTTTTTTATGGTTCTTGCTTTGTATGTCCTAAGAAATCTTTGCTAATTTTAAAGTCAAAAAAGCTTTCCTTCTATATCATCTGCTAGACATTTTATAGTTTTAGTTTTAACATTATGGTTTGCAATACATTTCAAGTTAATTTTTGCATTTGATATGAGGTGAGAGTTACTGTTAATTTTTTTCTATATGGATACTCAAAACCAATTATTTAAAAGACTATCCTTTTCTCCACTAAATTATCTTTAATATTCAAAATGTATTAAGTTTTTCTACATATACTGAGAGCACAGATTTGATATAGTTTTATTTGCTTTTCTTGTGGTTTTGGATTGCTTTGAGGGGTTATGAGGAGGTATATATTTAGGCAGTCCATTTTGCCACAACTATTCCTTCCACATTAACTTATAATTACTTATAAATCTTTGATTCTGAAATCCTTCCTGTAAATCTCTACCATCATCTTCTATGATTACCAAAAAATAATAAGAACATTAAATGGAAAGCAATTTTACATATAGATATAAGTAATATACTCACCTGTAGGATCTGTTGTGACAGATTTTATTTCATCAATAAATTTTTGTTGATTATAAAATAATTCTGAATGACAATTATAAGTTGTTGCATAGGCAAGATGTGATATTGTAATACTACTATTAATAATACTATTAGATGATGAATTACCTGAAAGAAATAATTAATACAACCAAATATATTAGCACAATATATCGCACTTAGATGGTAACTTAGGAGAACATGAAAAGAAGACGTCAAAGATCCTGAAAATGACTAAATAATGAATGGTTTTACAGCATTCAATTTTTAAGAACACATTTAGCAAATATATCTTAAATTGAGTTTGTCTCTACTTTCACTGATCCAGGAATGATCCATTAGTTCCATCCATTGCAGTTCAAAACTGAGATTGCACCTGAGTTAGCATTTCCTGAATAGATTTTCTAAATAGATACTGTTTTATCATCAGTCTATCATATGTTTGCTTCTGTTTTCCTCATGCTACTTGTACCATGGACATGTATCTGCCCCTTCATATGATGATTACAACCATTGCCACACCCTCCTGTATGTGCAACTTCCCTATGATTGTCTAGCATATTGCTCTGTGCCAAGAGGTGGAAGATTTCATCCTGTTAAATGCAAATACACTTAAAAAGTGCTAAGAAATGCTCAATTATTGCCCCCCCATCTGAACTCAAACTCATTATCCTGGATTCACTTCCTGTATGTTTTCCATTTCTGTATCATCCAAGTACACCTGAATTTATTTATGAATTTATTACTGGAGCATTGACAAAGTAAATTCTTGAACCATATAATCTTGTTTGTTTTATTCTCATTCTAATGGAATATAATCATCTCTTATAACATCTTTTCTCCTGATCTCTTCAACAATGTCTTGTGTACTATAGTAGCCATGAAAATTCTTATAAATTATTTGACTTCTACTATTTTAAAAATTTTTCAGGAGGAGTATCTGTCTATTTTGTGGATAAGGTAATGTGAAATTTCAGGTTGGTGGTATCTAATAGAGGATACAATTGTTTGACTCCAAGCATACCACAGACCAAATGGGGGAACAAAAGAAGAAAGGAAAGAAGGGAGGTAGGGATGGAGAAAAGAGGAAAAGAGAAAAGCAGGAAGGAAGAGATGGAGGGAGGGAAGGAAGAGAATTAGACATATCTAACAACTTCCCTCCCCAAAAAAACTCTGATCAATGCTATATTCTTACCACATGTAATTTTGTAGGTAATATTTCCCTCACAGGCGAAGGAAACAGCTGTTGCCCAAATTAAACAAATAGAAGTATTTGCTTCTTCAGCCTTTGTACAGTCTTTTAATTGAAAAACGTCACGTTCTGCCAAGAAGATATAGAATGATTGATATTTCATAATTATTGCCATATTCTCAGTTATAGTCACTAAAATTATATTGTGACATAGAATTTAGCAAACAGATTGCTTTTGAAAAATTCTAATTTATCTCAGAGTTTGATATTTCTTGATTGCTTAGTTTAAATTTTTTAACATATATTTTTATAGTGTTTCATGCAGGATTTATGTTACCTTAAAAAAAAGGAACAGAAGCAAGCATGCAGATAAAATTGCGAGTTTTGCACGTTATAAAACATTCACTCTCTTTTCTTTTATTAAATATATTTCCATTTGTTCTTTGATTTTTAATCGAATGCTTATTACACACGATATTGGAGGTCTCCCTCTTGGGAAATGCTTTTTCTAAAATTTTCCATGTTATGTGTTTTACTGATTCTTTATTTCTTTAATAGAGGAGCTCTGGTAGCATAGTACCTAAGACATTTCACCACTAACCAGAAGGTTGGCAGTTCAAACCCACCAGCCACTCCTCGGAAGGAAGGTTGGGGCAATCTACTTCCATAGTGATACTGCCTCAGAAACCCAAGGAGTAGTTGCTATGAGTCAGATCCTACTGGAAAGCAGTGAGTTTGGTTTTCACTTTTTGGAGAAAGTGAATAAATTAAGTAAGCTTTCCTTTTTTATTTTTTCAAAAAATTGTCAGATTCTAACTCTTAGATGTTAATAAATTAGTCAAAGATCTTAGATTATTAAATGATGTGTGACATTAAAAGCTGCACAGCCCTTAAATCCTTTTTTCAAAATGTATTTTGCCAGGATAAGATTTTTCAAGATAGCCTTCAGTGGAATCTACCTGACACCTTTCAGGCCTTTCTCTTTTCCAGTAGTGACTTAGCTGGCAAACCATTTTGATTTCCCTAACATGACTAAAACTTTCCTTTTTGTGAAAGCATTTTGCTTCTTTTATAAATGTCGTATCCTTGACTTTTTATTTTTCTCCAAAAGTATTCCAAACTTCTATTGAAAAGGATAAATATATGTACATGCTTATTTAAGGACTTGAATTAAAGAAGGGGGAAAATAAAAACTAGTGGAAAATCACTTAGCTCTGGTGGCATAGTCGGTAAGGCATTTGGCTAACCAGAATGTTGGTAGTTCAAATCCACCAGCTGCTCCGTGGGAGGAAGATGAGGCAGTCTACTTCCATAAAGATTTATAGCCTTAGAAACCCAATGGGGGTCATTATGAGTCAGAATCGACTCAGTGGCAGTGTTTTTTTTTTTTTTTAAAGCACTTAGTAGGATAAATTATATCCAATCTATATGACTCTCTCTGTGAAAAATGGGAGAAGCGTTAAAAGATCAAAACAGAAGGCTTATAAAAACTTATAATTTTTACCAGGTTAGGCCAGCAGAAAATTTACCCATTTGTATATTACTGACTTCATTTCCCTCATCCTTATTCCTGTGACTACTAGAAAACACCACACATGAAATTTTTTATTTTATAAATATGCAAATAAAGGTGACTTAATATTTACCTGGTGGTACATCTAATGTTAAATTTTTAAGTGGAGGAACACATGAATCATGGGATATAGAAACAGATGTAGGTTTACATCCCTTTAGGTTTTCACAACTAGGGTCACACTTCACTGGGTCTGGAGTAATTAGCTTTGCCCTGTATGAGTTGCTTGTGTTGCTATATTCGTATTCCACAGAGATTGATGCATATTTTTCATCTGAAAGAAAAAAATAAGGTAAGAATTTTCTATTACTTTCAGAATTATTAAATCTACATTAAATATAAATCCATATATAGTAATTACAAAAATATGAAATCACTAATAAAATATCCACATGAATACAAAAAGTAGAAGAAATACATTAGGTTCCTCTGTGCGTTATTTTTCCATGGTTCCCTTAGCGATGTCCCCAGCTCGGTAGTTTGTATTTGGATTACTATTAGGCTAATGTCTGTCTTCTTAACTGGACTGTAAATTCCATGAGGGAAAAGTCCAATCTATTTTTATCATAAGCATGAATCTAGCTCCTTACATAGTACCTGCCATTACTAGGAGCTCAGTAATTACTTATTGAATGAAGCCCAAATGAATCACGTGTCTGACAATTTCTTCTTCTCACTTTATAATTTCCCTTGATTTATAAATTATAATTATCTATTCCTCCAAATATGTGGAACATTCACTATTCACTCACATGCATTTATTTATATAAAAACATTGTTGATAACATGCCCTCCTGAGAACCTTTCCTTAGTCTCATCTGATACTCTATCATTTATTTAAACAATTTCCATTAACTGGCAAAAATATCTTTTCAACAAATATTAATTTATTCATTTTTTATTCAACAATAAGTTATCAAGCCTTACTTTGCTTAAGACACTGCCTAAAGCACTAAGAATACACAGGGTAGTCAAAACACAGGCTTACTTTTAGAAATATATAGTCTAACAGGATAAACAGACACAAATATGAATTGCAGAAGATATGGAAATACCTAGGACAGCATTTTGCACAAAATAATATGGGAACAAAGAAGAGAGCAGTCTATTTCAATTGGAGGAATAGGGAAGAAATTACAGAGGAAATGACACAGTTTCAGTTTTAAAATATGAATAAACCTATTGCTGTTGAGTGAGTCCAACTCACAGCAGCTCTATAGGACAGAGTAGAACTGTCCCATAGATTTCAAAGGCTGTAATCTTTATGGGACAAGATTGCCATATTTTTCTCCTGCGGAGCAGCTGGTGGGTTTAAACCTCAGGCCTTTAGGTTAGCAGGCAAACACTTAAGCACTGTGCCACCAGGACTCCTTTACTGATCAACAGAGCCCAAAAAAATATGAATAAGGAGTATCAAACCAGATATGAGGGGAGGGTATGGAGTGGAATTCCAAGGCTAGGGGAAAAACAGCAGGTAGAAAGACAGAGAGGCAGGAAGGAACAGTATGTGTTTGGTAAACTAAGTAATTCCAAATTGGTAAAGTGAAAAGTATTCTGAAGCACTGAAGTAAATGAGAGGTACATTTTAACTTGATCATAAAAGATTACATTAATGAAACAAGCATGTAAGCCAACAGCCAACATCGTTATTAATGGAGAAAGACTCAAGGCATTCCCCTTATGAACGGGAACCAGACAGAGATGCCCTCTACCACCACTTCTATTTAACGTTGTATTGGAAGTCCTGGCCAGGCCAGGGCAATAAGGCGAGAAAGAGAAATAAAAGGCATACAAATTGGAAAAGAGGAACTAAAACTATCTCTATTTGTGGATGATGTGATCCTATACATAGAAAACTCAAGGGACTCAATAAAAACTACTGGAACTAATAGAGAGGTTCAGCAAAGTGGCAGAATACAAGGTTGACATACAAAAATCAGTTAGATTCCTCTACACCAACAGAGTCCTCTGATAAAGAAATAAAGGAAATAATACCATTTACTATAGCTACAAAAAAGATAAAATATCTAGAAATAAACTTCACCAGAGACACAAAAGACCTATACAAAGAAAATTATAAAACAGTACTATAAGAGACAACAAGGGCACTACATAAATGGAAGAACTTGCCTTGTTCATGGAGGGATAGACTGAATATTGTGAAAATGTCAATACTACCTAAAGCAATCTACACATTTAACTCAATCCCAATCCAGATTTCAACAAAATTTTTTAAGGACATGGAAAAACTAATTACTAATTTCATATAGAAAGGAAAAAGACCTCGGATAAGCAGAGCACTTCTGAAGAAGAAAAACAACGTGGGAGATCTCACACTCCTAGATCTTAAGAATTACTATACAACCACAGTAGTCAAAACAGCATGGTATTGGTACAGTGATAGACAGATAGGCCAATGGAACAGAATCGAAAGTCCAGATATAGACCCATCCATCTATGGACAACTGATCTTTGACAAAGATCCAAATCCAATTAAATGGGGAAGAGACAGCCTCTTTAACAAATGGTGCTGGCAAAACTGGATATGAACCTGCAGAAAAATGAAACAAGACTCCTACCTCATCCCATGCACAAAAACAAACTCAAGCTGGATCAAAGACTTAAATGTAAAACCCAAAACTATAAAATTCATCAAATATAAAATAGGGGCAAATCTAGGAGCCCTGATTTACAGCATAAATAGACTGACTATCAAGCATAACCCAGAATGTGCAGGAGATAGAAGAGAAGCTAGATGGCTAGGAACTTTTAAAAATTAAATTTGTATGTGCATCGAAAGACTTCGTCAAAAGGGTAAAAAGAGAACCTACAGATTGAGAGAAAATATTTGCCTTTGGCATATCTCATAAAGGACTTATCTCCAAAATCTATAGAAAATGTCAACACCTCAACACCAAAAAGACAAATAACCTACTTCACAAATGGGCAAAAGATTTGAACAGACACTCCACCAAAGAAGATATACAGGCAGCCAACAAACACATGAGAAATTGTTCATGATTATTAATCATTGTTGTTGTTGTTATTTGCCGTCGAGTCGCCCCCGACTCATAGCGACCCCTCCTTGGGTTTCCAAGGCAGTATCACTACGGAAGTAGGATTGCCCAACCTTCCTTCCAAGGAGTGGCTGGTGGGTTTGAACCGCCAGCCTTCTGGTTAGCAGTCAAGTGCCTTAGGCACTATGCTGAGAGATGCAAATCAAAACAACAATGAGATATCATCTCACTCCAGCAATAATAGCAAAGTTCAACAGGTCAGAAAATAACAAATGTTGGAGAGGTTGCGGAGAGTTTGGAACTCTTGTGCACTGCTGGTGGGATTGTAAAATGGTACAATCATTGTGGCAAATGGCATGGCATTTCCTTAAAAACTGAAAAAAGTACCATTTGACCCAGCATTTCCATTACTAGGAAGATATCCTAAAGAGGTGAGAGACAGTGCATGGACAGACATAAATACACCTATGTTCATCGCAGCACAATTCACTATAGCAAAGTGATGGAAACAACCTAAATGCCCATCAATGGATGAGTGGATAACCAAATTATAGTATATCCACACAATGGAATACTATGCCACATTAAAGAACAATGAGTGATACAGGAATCATCTCACAACATGGATGAACCTGGAGGACATCATGCTGAGTGAAATAAAAATAAGTCAATCACAGAAGGACAAGTACTGTATGAGCCCAATACTGTAAAAAGACAAAGAAAGGTTTGCTTGGAAAAGGGAACTCAGTAGGTTACCAGGATGGGGAGGGAAACGGAGGGATTAATATTGGGCTATTTGGGGCCCACATGCTGATGTGGGTAGGGATATACGGGAAGGATCTATGACCACCATGATAACACTAGGAAATGGTAGGACACTGAATTGTGCACATAAGAGCTAGACGACAATGCTAATACCAACCAATGTGTCCATGATATGCATTGCCATTAACACCAAACACCAGGCTACAGATCAACACATAAACACCTCAGAGGATCAGATGGGGGTCAGTGAACAGGAGTATACTCTAAACCAAGGATTGATTCAGCTGAGGCTAATCTTGCACAGACACCAGTGATACAAAATACCTGCATTCCTTACAGAAACAATAGAAGACAGACACAAAGTAATCCCTCACAGACAACCAGCCACTATGGGAGAGATCCAATAGATCTACTGTCTCAGGACCATAATACTGGGGGACACCAGACTCAACTGGCACAACAAAATACATAAAAGCTTTGCTCCACATCCTGCATTGGTCAGTAGCGACTGGGGTCTGAATATGAAATCAAAGCTTCTTGCTACTGATAGACACTGACTCTTAAGAGCTGGAGTTAATCATTGGTGAGGAATTAGAGCCAGTGAGTTTAGCTGACTAGTGGGTCTTGGAAGCTTGGGATGAAGAATGGAATAATTTAAAAGCTATTCCAAAGTATTGTATGTTGTTTCAAGGTAAATAAACTTACCACATGATGGCTGTGCCTGAGTAGTAGCTGTAATAAAGGAAATAAAGAACAAGAAAACAAATTATTCAAAATTCAAATTTTAGAATATCTCTCCTATAATCAATTCAGAGAAAGGTGATTTAAAATATTTTGACTTTGCAAACTGTCATGTCTATGTATTTGATTTAACAGATAATACAGGGTTTACCATGCTTAGTACATACAATGTTTTAATCTCAAGACTTTAAATGTTATAAACTAAGAATGTGTTCAATAAAATGTGTTCCTACAGTTTATCCAATAAATCAGAATGTGATGGTAACGAAATCAAGACTTTGCTAGTATACATCTAATTGTGATGTTCCATAATGGCTAAATTTTTGAATAGCTGACAAGATTTAAATAAGTCCTCATCCCCTTGATTAATCTCAAAATAAATTTATGTAAGTATAATATAGCTGTTACAAAGTTACACTTCTGTGAAGAAAAAGAATCAGAGAGTTGCCAAGGGCTGATTCATATTCTAGTTCACCTTTTGAAAGATCTTTGCACAAATATTATTATAGTCAGGGTAACAAGAGCTCACTCAACAGATTGAGTAATATTGTTAGTGAACATAGAATTCAGCTGAAGAACTAGGTGAAAAATGTGCTTTGAACAAGCTAATCTTGTCCTTACTTGGAAGACTTCAGTGAAGAACAGTAGGTTTACAAACTCAGCTGTCGCTGATAAACTGTACAGACCAACCACCTGCCGTCCAGTCACATCTAACTCATGGCAACCCTATATGTGTCAGAGTAGAACTGTGACCGATAGGGTTTTCAGTGGCTGATTTTGGAGAAGTAGATCACCAAGATTTTCTTCTAAGGCACCTCTCGGTGGACTCAACTTCCAAACTTTCAGTTATCAGCCAAAAGGGTTAACCATTTCCACCACCCAGAAACTCCGATTTGCAGATACCGTGATTGCTATGGCCATTCCTTTTATGCTTTCTTTCCTCCAGGCTCCCACACTTGGCTGGGACTCTGCAACCAGGCCTGTACTACTCACCACTCGGAATGAAAAGCATCTTTGATAGAACAGTTCTTTTTCATGCTGATACCTGAACTCACTCTTGGAGAAAGAAGTTCTAATACATTTGGTCATTTCTCCAATGTTTTCATAAAACACAGAATACTAGGGGATGCCATCACAACAATATGATGGGTAAAGACAGCAACATTATATCCTCATCTCATTAGCTATTGCAGTGCTGAAATAGATGAGTGCTTTTGACTAATAGCTATTCCACATCCTCATGATTAGAACACTTAATTGAACCACTCAAGGAAAGGACCCCAAGGTAGAGCAACCAAGGAACCCTTCTGTGAGCACATCCCCAGGCCCATGGTGGTATGTCTGCATGACTGAGGGTAAGGTTGTCACCTATTATTGTGGAAATGGTTGGAAAGGCAGTGCTTGCAGAAGTGATCAGGGGCGAATCTGCAAGGAAATAACAGAAGGATAAAGGTTAACGCGTTTGTCTTATTGAGAGGTAAGGGAAACAAACACTCTAGCATAAGTGCTCTAACTGAATCTTTGCTCTAGAAGTACTTGTTTGAATTGACACTTGCTTGATTTTAAAGTGATTCGAAGGTTTATCTACAAATGACCCTTTAAGATAAGCAATATTTTGAGAAATTTGAAGTAAAAATTGCATAAGCTGAGGGGAAACTATGTGCTCCTTGGTATAATCTTACCTGATGTGCTATCTTCTCCAACTAATCCTTTCTCTTTTAATTTTTGGTTTGGCTCCTTATTTTAGATATTTTTATGAAGAGCAGTTACCCATTTGGAATATTCAGTACAGACCAGGCTTTTAGCTTATTTACTCCTCATATCAATATTATGAAATGGGTACTAGCATATGCATTTTCACAGAACAGTAAATTGACACTCAGAAAGTATTAGTAACTTGTCTTCAGGTCAGCTAGAAAGTTGTAGAGGTTGTAGTTGATCCCTGACCTATTTGCAATTGTTTGACATTATCTTTCTCCATTTACGTGAACTTTCATAATGTTGATAATGAAATGTGCCCAGAAAAAGCTTACTGGCAAGGTTCTTTTGCCTAATTTAGTAGGGAGATATAAAAATCTTACAAATTTTGTAAACCAGGATACCTGCAAATAAAATATGGTGTGAAAGAAAAGAACCATATTAAAGTGGGAGTTTCCATTTCATTACCCATTGCATAAAACAGCTACAGCAACTTAATCAAACCTGAGGAGTGATCTTGAGTGGTGATGTTGGAGATGCGTGCAGGTAAGGCAGCAGCCTGGCTGCTGTGTGCAGGGCTGTGGGGGGTTACAGAGGTGAAAGCCTTGTCTGTGGGAAAGGTGGTGAATGTGCTCTCCTCCTCTCTTCTGACACCTGCAATCAAGAAAAGCCATCAACACTGTCACTTGTTCTTGCCACACAAGGACAGTGGTTAGAGAGCCAACGTGAACATGATCCCTGAAGCCAGGCCAACTCCAAACAAGCACTTCTGCTATGCCACGATATATGTGTTCTGCAAAACTGCACTAAAAATATCAAGGCTCATGGGAAAGATAAGTTTGGAGGCAGGCCACTTGAAACTTAGTAAGCAGAGCACACACACATGTTTTAAAGATTTGTGACTTTAGAAGATAGCTTGGAGAGTGCAGGAGGCCAAGCCTCCTGGTCGAGGACTGCCCTTGTTGTTGTTAGTTGCTGTCCAGTGGAATCCAACTCAGAGAACCCCTACATGTTCAGAGCAGAACTGCTCCCTAGGGTTTTCAATGCTGTGACCTTTCAGAAGCAGCTCGTCAGGATTTTCTTCCTTATCGCCTCTCCATGGGTTCAACTGCCAACCTCTTGGCTAGCAGTGGAGAACTTAACCATTTGCACCACCCAGGGACTCCGAGGGCTGTCCTAGGGGACATTAAAAATGCACCGGAACAGTGGAGCTAGATGTGGGTTTGCTAGTGCTGAGGTCTCACAGATGAAAGAGGAGCTCTGGTTTAAAAGGCTACATGAAGGTTGGCACAAGAGGAAGTGCCACCTGACACGTGCTGAGTGAGAGATTCCCTTGGGGGTACACCTCTCTGGGGAGAGAACCCTGGGTGCAGGTGCTTAATTTTAATTTTCTCAAAATAGAGCTGAATGGGTTCCTCCTGTGCAGCAGCTGAGCAGTTTTTCTTCTTCAGCTCAAGGTTACAATTCTACTTTCAGTTTAGGCTCCCTTGCCAGGAAAACATCAAATTGCTTTGGAACCAAAATATCTCCACATTATACTGACATTATTCCCCCTTTCCAGTCACTGAGGAGCTAATTGGCATTACAGAGTCAAATGTTATACCACAAGAAACATGCTATTTATTTCGGACTTGTCAGGCCTCAAAGAACCTAATGCATGGAGCATCTTTCCCCAAATGTCCTATGCAGAATTGCAGCACAGGCAATCAATTTATCTTCATTGAGTGCCTTCTAAGTAACTAGTACTATGCTACTTTGCATGGCAAAAGCAAAATAAGTACAATTCGGGCCCTATCCAAACTCTTTTGATTATTTCACCAGTCAGGATCCCTGGCGTCATCAGTCCAATGATTTGAGATGAATCGCTCATTTGCAGTGAGATTCTCAGGGTCTCAGCAGAGTGCTGCGTGTGTGCACATTCTGCAAAGCTTTGGTGCGAGTGTGCAGGCATCCTCCAGCTACAAATGAGTGTAGTGCATACGTCATACACACACTCCATTAGAAAAGGAAATGTGTCTCAAAAAGATAGACTTTGGTTCTCAGCTCACTTAATTCCTGTTACCCCCAAAATATAACAAAATCATAGTTCCACTGATTAGAATAAATAACATAAACATTGTTCAAGATCCTCAGATTGACAGCCTCAACACAAAAAGGAAAGAACTGACCCTCTGTAAAATATTAAAACCCACAGGGTGTGTTTGAGGTCTTCTTTCACCTTCTTTTCCTTTTCTCTCTCAATAATTCGTTCTCTGAGTCCCCAGCAGCCACAGTGTCCACATCCCCATGCTGCTCTGTGTCCCTCACTCACTCTCCAGGAAGCATTCCAAATTGTCTCTTTCCTCTTTACATGAACACGTCTTTTCCCTCATTGTATAGATAATCTCAGTGATGGAGAATAGGAATGACATTTACTATTTTAATTATGTTTACTTTTGATTAGTGGAATTAGCCACTGTGAGATGAATTTCCTGAGCAGGCCAACGCAGGCCTGACAAATAGCAGGCTAGTTTGTGTGACCATCAGCCCCTGGGATGTCAGTCCTCTTTAGTTGTATTACAATTTCTTCTCATCCACAGTTTCTGAATCTGTAGATTTGCTAAAAGCTAGAGATCTTTTTACTACAGTTCTCATAGCAGCTGAAGTGAGTGCAATGAGGCAGGAGGTGAGGGTAATTCTTCTCCCAACTGTTTAAAATTTGCAGTTTGCCCACAGTGAGTTTTATGCCAACAGGATAATTTTAATCTTTCAAAATAGCAATTATCGTTATAAGGGCTTAACTTCCATGTTCACTTAACACCTACACCCATGGAAGCTACAGTGCCAGCCATATAGCGGCCTCTTTTCTTGCCTTCAACTCTCAGGCACTGTGGTCACTAAACTTATATGTATGGGTATACGCATTTGTTTCCTGAGAAAGGATATGATTGCTTTCTGAGCATTAAAAAAAATGGCATCATAAAGTGAGTTTTTGACATTGATTTTGGAAAGATAAGAGAAAGAATACCTTGATGATTGAATGGGAAACATGAGCATCTATTTCATTGCCGTCATTCTTTAAGTCACTAATTATGGTCACAATTTCTCAATGTTCTTGATTGATAATACGTGTTACCTAATTTTTACTGTTTTGTTGATTGGTAGTATGTCTTTAAGAGAAGAATGTGATATATTATTCCTTAATACGAGCAACAGCAAATTTTCACTGTACAATGGTACTTGGCCCAAATACAAGCAACAGAGTGTCATGTTTCAAGTGTTTCCTCCTGAACACTTATTTGCTAACATTCTCACAATGCTTTCTCTTTATGATTTCATCTCCACTGAAAGGACCTTTGTGATGTGGATCATAACCTAAGAACAACTATAAAAGGATGAAATTTCAAAATCCTCAACTACCAAGTACTACATGTTAACAAATTTTTGGATTTCCTCACACCATTTTTAAAAACAGGCAGTTGTCATTCACTCTTTCAATTTGCATAAATCTAAAGAACCCGCAAACCTGCTGTATCATTCCTGCCAGGAGCAGGGGTGAGTGCAGTAAGGGCAGCCTTGCTGCTGGGTGTGTGATTGTCAGATTCGGCAGAGGGCGCCTGCGAGTTTCCATGCGTGAGAAGGTGAGGCGTCTGTGCTGAGGTAACACCTAAGATAAGAAAGTGAGATCATTACATCAATCTCCTCCCACCTCTGAAGAAAAATTTAAATACTAATAGGTTATAAGCAGCAAATTACTATTACAGTTTACCCAACTGTGAAATGACTCAATCTGTTAAAATGTGTCTGCTAGTTATTTAGGGTATTTTAGTAGAAAGGTGGCATCTGTGTTCCTAATTACATCTCTTTGGTATTGGGACATTCCCTGGACTGTGTGCAGTCATAGAGGAGTCATGTTCCCAAGTTGTTTTTGTTGTTATTGTTTTAAATTTCCAAATCACTACGAGTTTTTTTGGATTATCCATTAACTCTACAAACTGAAATTTGAGACATTTCTTTGTAGGCAGAATAAGAAGAAACCGCCCAATATAGCAGGATCTATTTTATAACAACAACATTTTGGTTTCAGTTTATTACAAATAGAAAAGAAAAGAAGAAAGAATGTGTTTCAGCTATTACATTCACAGAGTGTTAAAAGATCTAATGTTGGGAAAGGTGTGGTGAGACAGTCATACACACACACACAGACACACATGCTAAGTCATATGCATGGAATGTGGAGAATATACAACGAAGGTTAGAGTGTTATCTTTTGGGAATAGGATTTGGTGGCCTGGATTTTCATTTTGTGTATACACACACACACGTACTGTACATATATTGGTAATCATTTTCCAACACACAAACTATTCTTACAAAAATAAGACTACATAATTATATGAATGCTATGCATGTAGACGCTAATTGTAATTATTTTCCAGCAAAAGCAAATTTGAATGGTATACATTATGTCATTAGACAAATGGATTAAGTGATTTCTTATTCTTCCAAAGTGTATCTGTAAGCAGGAAAGCTGTAATTGGGTTCTACAATCCAAAGCAATTTGAAACATGTATTAAATTGCAAAGGTAGAATTTATTCCAGTAGATAATGGAAATAGCACCAGATAGCAAGACTATTTTCTAGAAAAGAAAATGTATCTTTTATTTGAAACCATATATAAGAAACTTTCCAAGCTATTTTCACTATAAGTGTGATTGCACCAAAGCATGTCAGTATTTTAAAATTATGCCTTCACATTTCTCATCCATTCTATTTCAACCTTCTTTTCATTCACACTTTACTAGATCTATATTGCTTTAATTCTTTTCAAGTAAGATTTTTTTTAACAAATGTGTGAATAAAAAGGTAAGAATGGTGTGTGTATGAAGTAAGATGTGGAATATTTAAAATGAAAAGCTCTGGAAAACAGGACTATATCAATAAAAAAGTTCAGCATGAACTGTTCTTCCTAATCTACAGCCACTTTGCCCTCACAGTCTTCCCTAAAAATTTAGGGTAATGAGATTACATGCGTACAAGGTTTAGATAGGTCCAAGGGGAAAAAATGGTGTCAAAATTAAGTATACGTTGCTATAATTGCTATATGAAAGCATTGACCATATATTTAACTGCTTTCTGTAGCTTATAAACTTTAACAGTATGGTACCTAAAATATTGCAATGTACCATAAACAGAATTTCTCTGATGGTTTTATATATGCTTATCATTCATTCAAACTAAGATTAATGATACTGTTGTGCTGTTCAGATAAAGCAGTTCAAATTTAGCCTTTCTTGTCAGTATATATATGAAAACCTCCTTCCCTAAGAAAATGTGATATAGTACATTGTTTCAGAAAAGACATGAAGAGCTCTCATTACAGTTTATTTATGAACTGAATACTGTGGCAGATCCAGTGCTAAACACAAAATGAGCTGATCATTGGCATAATGGGTTCTTGGGAATGTCAATGTCCTTTTTTGACAAAAATAAGGTATTGTACCATGATCATGTCTACATTGCCTGAATGTCACTATGAGGATTTCACAGTGTTGATTAACTGGAAAAAATAAAATAAATAGTGCAAGTAGTCCTGCAAGAAATAATAATAATACAAAAAAATGGTTACCAATCCTCAGTATGAATTATTTTTTTTGAGTAAGTTGTTCTACCTCCAATGGTTGTATGGTAATGAGAGTCTGGAAAGGAGTAGAAAGGAGGAACTGTTTTTACTTTGGGGTGCCTCCCAGGGGAAGCAGGAATGATGAATCCTGAAATACGGTGCACTAACCTGTCTGGGGCTACAAGAGACCTAACTGAGAAAAACTGAAGAAAGATGCTAATGTGGAGTTTAAAGAGCACAGGAAAACTTTCCCCCCATGATTTTACTTAGAGCTCTTTCCTCCCTCCCTCTTCCATTGCCTCTCCCTCACAACATACATTCATTACTTCCATCAACACGTATTTAATAAGCACTTGATACGTTCTCACTTTATATGCTTGAACAAAATCATATACATAATTTAGTTAATGAAAAACTGTCTAGTAACTTTAGAGTTACAAAAGGAAAAAACAAAACAAATTTTTCTTAATACCATTTTACTTAACCATATCTCTGTGCCAACCTGTTATGCCAAGAGCACTAGTACTATTTGGAATATTGCTTGGACCCAGAGGAGATGTGGTCTCTGAGGAGTCATGCGCTCGTTCAGAGATGCTTGTGGGTGAGAATGCAGTGGTGCCAGCAGGTAAGGGGTCACTTGGAGACAGACCACTGGGCTGTCCTGTTGTGGTCAATCCTGTTATATCAATGGAAGCTAGAAGAAGAAGAAAATAAATATGTAAATCATATTATGAAATATGTGCTCAATTGAGTTAAACGCAGATCCACTATGGGGCGTGTGTGCATACAAATAAATATATATGATTATTTATAACATTTATTTATTTATTTATTTACAACATGATACTGACTCAGAAACCCAAGAAGGGGTCACTATCAGTCGGATCCAACTCAATGGCAATGAGTTTGATTTTTGGTTTTACACATATATAATGTATAATTTATATCACACTTACTGCCGACAAATTGAACCCAACTCATAGCGACCTCTCCTTGGGCTTCCAAGGTGGTATCACTACGGAAGTAGATCACCCAACCTTTCTTCCAAGGAGTGGCTGGTGGGTTTGAACTGCCAGGCTTCTGGTTAATTTACACACACACACACACACACATATAAGTGTATATATGTATATGTATATGTATATGTATATATATATATATATATAAAATATACATACAAATACGTATATAAACAGAAATATATGTGCATGTGCATATACATACATGTAAGATATAGATACAAAACAAGTGACAGAACAGTGGCTAAAGATAAAAATGGGGAAATGGAGTTGAAATCAGATATCTCCTGCCTTCTTCTTATTCATTTACTGGCATTTTCAACCACCAAACAATTAGATTCAGAAGAGTGGAACCAATGGGTAAAGATTAAGAGAAATTTTACAAAAGAGATTTTGATCAAGAAAAGAGGCAAATTAAGTTAGAAAAATATTATTAGGAGGAATAGGTTTCCAGGAGAAGAAAATAAAAGACAGTAGTGATGTCCATGTAACAATTAAAAAAGAAAAAAAAAAAAGTCTTTTGATTCAAACAATTCCAGAGAAATATGGGCAAGAGACTGGAGTCAAAATTCACAAACAGATAAACAAATGACACAAATATACAAAAATGTTTTCAACTTCATAATAATAAAAGAAATGTAATTTAGGACATTGAAAAAAGTTTTCCAGACTTCACATTCATTAAAAAAAAAAAAAAAAAGCTGGCAGTGAAGCAGGTGCAGTGTAACAGGCATGAGTGTATGAATGGGCAAAACTTCCTGCAAGGCAAATTAGCACCATGTACCAAAAATGCTCTTTAAAATATCTGTGCTCTCTTACTCAAAAAGTATAACTTATAATAGAATATAGAAACAACCCAAATTTTTTATTTTAAATACTCATTGTGATCTCTGGACATTGGGATTATAGATCTGTATTTTTCCCAAGGTTTCTATGTTTAACATATATTTCTTTCTATAAAGACCAAAATACATACTTTTTAATATTTATTTAACCCAAAGGCATTTTATATTATACAATTGGTTTAATTAATTTAATTGATTTTTATTAACAGGTAAGAGAGAATGGTATAAACAAGGAGGAGGGGCTGGAGAATGAGAGAGTGTAGAACAAGAGTCAAATTGATAGGACAGGATGGAATTAAGAACTCAAATTGAATGGTTGGTTACTCAATAGAGAATTAAGAAAATGGAAGTAGGAAGAACACAAAGAAATCTTTGCTTCATTCATTAATGCCATACAAAGTAATAGAGTGATAGTGCTCAAGATAGAGTGAAACCATTTTTTACTAAATAAAGATAAAAACAATCATATCCATATCAAATTGCCCAATGCCAATGTTCATGTAATGTTGCCAAACTACCTCGGAAACCCAAGGAGGGGTTGCTACTAGGGTCTGACTCGAGGGCACATAACAACAAAACAACAACATTCAGTGATTGCAGAAATCCAAAAACGATGATACAGTTATTTGTTGTTTGCTGTCATTTTCCCAAGACAATTTTAAATCTCCAGAATTTCATAACCAAATAATTCACAAGTAAATCCATCTAGTAACAAACTTTCACCCACAATTACATGCCTAGATATCCAACCAAGTAATCAGCAAGTAGCTACCTCTTGTTTTCAGTGTAAGACAAGTCTAAATGAGTGTGAGAAAAGAAGAGGAAAGACAGAGAAATAGAGAAAATTGGATGAATGGAAGGGAGGGAAGGAAGGAGAGAGGGGGGAAGCAGGGAGGAAGGAGTCACAAACTTAAATTTGCTCAAGAACTTCAATGAGTTTGCATTCACTGTCATCATTATACCCTTTGCCACTGAGTTGATTCCAGCTCACAGTGACCTGATAGGACAGAGTAGAATTGCCTCATGTGGTTTCCAACTTTCTCCCAACTGAGCAACTTAAGGGTTTGAACCACTAACCTTTCAGTTAGAAGCCCCACACTTAACCACCACACCACTGCTCCCAATTGTTGATTTCTTATTTTCAGTTTAAATTAACTTTGCTTTTGAGACAAATGTTACAACATGGTCCTTTTATCACCTCCTCCCACTTTTTAGTTAGATTTGAATTATGGAGAATAGAAGGAAAACCACTCCAAATCCATCATGTAATTGTGCTATTAGTATTCTGAAAAGAGAAACATTCTTAAGGACTATTCTTGCTAGAAAAATTCTGACTAGAATCCAGAAACATAACATGTTCAGAAAACTACCCTCCTACCTAGAGCCCTTAATATCCTTGTATACATTTTACACTCAGAGCATATTCCTTAATTGCACAAATAAAAATGTAATTTAGGATTAACAAACAAGGTTCAATGGGCAATTCCACATTGCCCCTCTACTCATGTTTTCAAATGACCCTGGTTTCGTTGTCTGAGGGCATGTTACAATCGTCAGTACAGAGGTCATTGGAATCTCTGTCAATAAAATGACATGAGCCTTCTTTTATCTTTACCATTCACTCCTCATTCCACCCTATACTCATTCCCCTCCTGCAAAAATAGCCAGTTATATATTGAAATGAATTTATTAATCTGTAAAAAAAAAAAAAAAAAAAAGGAGATCCTAAATTGCATATGAGTTGTTGTTAGGTACAGGCAAGTCGAGTTGACTTTCAACTCAGTGACCCCATGTGACATAGTAGAACTGTTCCATAAAATTTCCTTGACTGTAATATTTCCAGAAGCAGATCACCAGGTCTTTTTCCTGCCGAGCAGCTGGGTGTACTCCAATCACCAGCCTTTTGATTAACTGCTGAGTGCTTAACCTTTGCGACACCAGGTCTGCTTAAATTGCATGTGAGTAGGTGGTTCCTCGGAAACCCAAGGAGGGGTCACTATGAGTTGGGTCCAACTCGATGGCACATAACAACAACAACAACCACAGGTGGTTCCACTGTGCAGCACAGAACAACAGGTAGCATAGACTGATCATAATCTGCTAAGTATGAATGACTTTCACATATTTATTAAATCTCTCCTCCAAATTTAGAACTATGAAATTGTTACACCTGATCTTTGAAAAATAAGAGGTTATGCACCTTATGGAGATTCAGGAGCATTTTCTGCTACTCTTTGCATATCTCTTTGTTTACCAAGATGTGAAACAAATTCTATTTAATTACAAAACAAATTCCTACAATAACAACAATTCTCAGAATATGTCAAATGTACTTCATTTAGAGCTGTGCATTCTCACTGTTAAATCAGAATTTTCTCAATGGCTTTCTTTACTGTCTTAACCTGTTTTAATATATACTGCCAAGATTTAACAAGAAATAATTTTAAAATAAATTCTCAATAACAGTTGTTTGGGTGATATGATTTATTTTTAACTATGTGCAATTTAATTTTCTTTTTTTGATTAGCATGTAATACTTATGAACTGATTTTCAGCATGTTTCTTTTTAAATTTCATTTTTCTCAGGATAAATATCATTGTTAAGATTCTCACTCCAGTTATGCCAGTAGAGTTAGGAAATGGTTATTTAAAAATATCTTCATAATCTCAAAGCCTCTGTATATCTTTAAACAAGGAGAAATTATTTAATTATTATTACATTTAATTATATAAATTATTATATATTTAATCTAATATATAATATTGTATATAATATATGTTATTTCTCATAGTATTCCTAAACCCATTTGTTTGAATTACAAAGTTTTGTGACCTAACTTAAATTCATTTATTTGTTGTATTAATATTTTAAAGAGAAGTTTGACTCCTGCCATGTTATTTACTGGCAATTTTAAGAAAGCTTACAATTTTTACACAATAATACATGGACAAATACTATATTCAATAAGTTATCAAATATTATATCTATAAACAAGGTATTGAAACACAAGTGAATGGCAAGAACCATTCAATATTGTAAAGTTATCTACAAAATTAATTCATTGACTAATAATATAAAATTCTACTAATATTAAATACATAAAATTTACACCAAAAAATAAAATAAGTAAAAGGCCCATATAGTTCTTACCAGTATTAGAAAGCGGCAAGCCTTGTCCTGCAAAAAGGAAAACAATTACCTTTTAGAAATGTTGAAAGTCAAATTTTATACATAAATATGTTAACACATGTTAGATGTATATATACATATATATGTTATAGCAAAAAAAACAATCTCATTGCCGAGGAGTCAAATCTGACTCATAACTACCCCTCCTTATTTTCCCATGGCGGTATCACTACAGAAGTAGATTGCCCAACCTTCCTTCAGAGGAAGTTTGAACCGCCAGCCTTCCTGTTAGCAGTCAAATGCCTTACGCATTACTCCACCAGAGCTCCTATATATATGTTAGATCTGTGTATACACACACACACACACACATATATACATATTATATGTGTACTTTATATGTCAATTAACATTTATGGAGCAGCAGTTTTCAGTACCTTTTATGCTAATTAAACTATATTCCTTCTTTTAATGCCTAAGTATGTCAAAACTAGGCTATTATTTTTTTTATTTCCAGGCAAAATAAGTAATAAAGGAAAGGAGAGCTGTTAGGATTAGTTTAAAGCCAGCAAAGGTCATTGGAGTGACTTTTAACAAGTTCCTTACCAAATGCCACCTCAGAAACCCAAGGAGGGGTCGCTGTGAGTCAGATCTGACTCAATGGAAGCGTCTTGTGTTATACTACTACTACTACTTACCA